AACTGAGTTGCGGGGTGTTATGTTTTATATAGATGAGGCGAGTTATCGCAGCTTAGCTGTAATGCTTGAATAATTGTTCATCTGATACAATATATGTTGATTTATTCATAGGGATTGAACGGGGAGTCGGATCCAAACAGCCTTCATGGAGGATGTGAGGTTCTGAAAGGAGAGAAGTGGTCGGCGACGAAGTGGATGAGGCAGAGAACTAGCTACTGATTTCTCATTACATTTCCCATACCTATTTTTGGTGGTCATTGAGTAGAAGAATTTTCAAGGTTATGAGCAGTGTAAAAATGTCCTTAAATGTATCTGTCATAGAAACACTGGTGAGTTAATTAACCTTTTTTTTAACTAAAGAAACAGGAAGACATCATACTTAATGGAAAAAAGATAGGGTATATTATCACTTGAGATTATTTCGAAAGGTTCATCTGAAATGAAAGGTGTTGTTAATTTCCAAAGTTGCTAGGCATAAATTGAAGCAATTATATTTGCGTATTTAATTATAATGTGTCATTGATGGGGATGTCGAAGATGGATACACATAATCTACTCCTCTATACTTAAAAATAAGAATTTAAAGAGTTACTGTTTATGCCAGTAACTGTAGCATGGCTAGTAAATTGAATCGATGCACACTTGGAAGGCAACATTCACGCTGCAGTAATTTACTGTGGTGTAAACAGTAAATCAATTTGTTCTTCGAGTTACTACTTATGCTACAGTATTTTACCGTATCATAAATAGTAAAGAAAATCAAATGTATTAAAATTTGGGTCATTTCTAATTTTAAGCATATAATAATTAAATCAAATGTATTAAAACTTAGAGGGAGACAAGTTCAAAATGCAGCAGTGCTTAAAAACTTAGGGGGTCATGCTTTGTACGTGGTGCACACTAGTTTATGGGAAAGAGGGAAAAAAAAAAATCTAAAAGCAAGCAGTCTTGGTTTCTTTTCCAATCCTTTACCCTATTAATCAACTATAGTCAATCATGAAAGAACTATGATCTTGTATCAACTCCTTATGGGTAAGAACTTGTTCAATATTCTCGATACACATACAATCATACAAGGAAATGAGGAGTTCAAATGACTTGTAAGAGAGCAAGCAGCTTACATGAATGATTCACACCAGCGGCACACGAAGGATATAACCTCCCAGGTGTACATAGAATTCGAATAAATTGGACACAGCAGTACGCTCGCATAATACATAATTACATAATAAATTCAAATATAGCTACAGGCCTACAAATGCTAATACCTGGCATTATCCCCATATCGAATACAAGAGTCGCATTAAGTTGTCAGATTTTTTCACTTCAATTACTTGGCTCTTAACATTAACAAGAAACTTTGCATTGAGCCAACCTATTATAGAGGAATCTACAGTAGATCCCTTCTTCCTTCATGCCTGTCTTGCTGACAACTTGATTTCTTTATAATCCGTCATATCTCGAAGTTTATGGGAAAAACTTGTCCGTATCGAATGGCTGAATCCTGGAACCTGAATTCTGAGAGCTGAGACCTCGTTCCGTGTTCATGGGAGCAAATGCTGCATGATTTAAGGAGGCGGCGTCGGAGATCAGTTGTGTATTGGAAAATGATATTTTTGAGTAATTATAGTGATAGTTTCCTCATCAACCAAAATTGCGTAACATGCAATTTAGCTATACAACGTTTGCATGCGTGTGTACTTTTTCAGGTGTCGTAGAGACGTATATATCCATTTAGTCTGGGGATAAAAAAAAGAGCCCAGAGTCATGGAGTCATCAGTACAAAGTTACGTACATTTCAATAACTAGCAGAGTTTTTATGTGTGATATTAGTTTTGATCGGAAAAGCATAGAAATAAACCTCGGTGATATAGAAACACCATTTCCATGATTTTCATTCGGGTGTTGCTGCAGTGACTCAAATAGGGGACCCAAGGCATGAGACATGGGAGGTGTCACCATCCAGTTGCATGATGCACTGTTTATGAACAGTGCATCATGTAACCGAACGGTGACACCTCACATGTCCCATGCCTTGGGTTCCCTATTTGGGTCCTTGAGGCATTAATGTTTTCATAAATCTTTTACAACAAAAGCGAAAGTGATGGTAATGGATGCTAAGAGCATGGGCAAGCAAGCAAGCAAACCTTTATCCCTCATCCTCCTCTCTCTGTCATATTCGAACTTGTCGCGAATTTGTCTAGCCTTGTCCCACGTCTCATTTCGCGCGTTTTCTCCAAAACTTGGACCCTGCACGCGAAAAGGTCGACAGACAAACCCCCGTTAGAAACACAACCTGCCGGAATACTACTCTATTCTATTCACATCGCATTTAGCAAATCAGAAAGTCTGGTTTTCAGTAGCAAAACTGAGATCGCAAAAAAGGAAGTTGCAACTCTGGGCAACTTCCGTGGGCTACGACCTTTTTCCTGATACTATTCAACAAAGATCATGCAAGTCAATGATTCTCAGCGAGATAACGATTTCACCAACAATATGATCAATGTACCTTATTTTGCTCGGCCTGAGACCGGCTCCTCCTGCAGCACAGCGATAAGAGAAGCCATTAGAGAATGATCACCGAGGAAAGGTCTCGCCGAAAGCAACAGACATTTGACCAAGTAAGATGATAATACTCTCGATATCGAATAGCAATCATATTCAACGAACAAAATCAGCTCTTTTTTTTTTATCAAAATCAGCTCTTTTTTAATCCTTAGATTAGAAGCGGGGATATCTTACACGGAGATTAAAAAAAAAAAAATTCGGTAACAAAGTTTAGAAAACCTGTAGGGTGAGAAATCCAGGTCGTCGTCGTCGTCTTCAGCGGATTCATAATTGGCGTGATCTTGGGCGAGTTTCTTGGAGTAGCCCTCGTCCCAATACAATCTCTCCCAGCTCTCTCTAAGCTCGTTGTAGAGCTCAATGTATCTCCTGCACCACGGTTCATGCTCCTGCCGTTTAGAATTAACAAAAGAAATTAAATCGGACGGAGAAAAGTTGGAATCTTTTTAATTTTGTTTTATTTTATTTTAGTGGGGGGTTTAGGGTTAAAAAGAAAAAAGGGGGGAGTACGGATTCTTTGAGGACGAGGCGAGTGCGGCGCATGAACTGATCCCTCATCTGCTTGCGGCGCGATTGGGAGGTTGTCCCTCGAATCACGAAGCGCTCTCGGTGGGGACGTGCTCCCCGATCTCGGTGCATCTCTCCGTCACGATCCACCACTCCGACCTCCCCTCCCAGCGCCGCCGCCGCCGCCGCCGCGCCCTTGGGGTGAGCTTCAGGGGGCCTTGCCCTCGACGAGTTGGGCCGGGCCCACCAACGGGCCTGCTGGAGGCGCGACGCGGGCTGCTGAGAGGCGGGGGTAGCCGCCGCGTTAAGGACCGAGCATCGTCGTCTCCGCGTGCGCCTCCCTTTGATTTTGGGGGTTTTTTGACGTGGCGAATGCGCAAAGTTGGCCTATGGCTACTGTGGGTTTGGCCCCGGATCAAAGCCATGTCCAGGCCTAATTATATGTGTTTTTTTGGGTTTTGTGAGATGACCCAAAGTTGGAGGCTATGTGAGATAAACTAGGATGAGAGGGTTATGTGCCTCGAAGTTTGGGGGGTTATATGAAATTAATTTTTTAATCCATCTATCAAATTATTTGGAATTTGAGAAAAGTTTTGAAAATAAATCTGATCAAATTCTAAAGTCTAATAGATAACCATTTTTTAAATGTTATACTTTTATTAAAAACGACTAGAGTTTCACACTAAAGCACCACGACATACTTGTAATTTGACTAATATTATGCCAATGTGGCGGGATAAACCTGGACTTTCACAAATTCTTTTTGTTGCCCTGGTAGGGCCACGTCATCACCACGTCACCAAGATCTAACGGAAAATTTGTAAAAAGGATGCAACCAACATTCCAAACTCGCACCGACGACTTTCAAACACTAAGAACTCAAATGATATTTAGCCAATACCATGAGAACCCCCACTAAACTTTTGAAAAAAAAAAGATTAAAAATAATTTTAAAAAAAATCTAGTGTATCCAACGTTATACAAGTCTGGCGATTGTCTGTGATATAACAGTGGAAGAAGTTCAAGAAACTACAGAAAGCGTCATTTGCCACATGACCGTGGAAATATACAGAGACATTATATGCCACATCGATATAAACTTTAGACTTTCACTAATTCTTTGGCGTAGAAAGATACATGCGATAGCACGCGCACATATAAAGAGGAGAGCTCCTAAGAAACCATAGAAGGAAAAGTCAACTTCACTCACAAGTGATCAATACACACGGGGTAAAAGAAAACCCTCTGTTTGCTGTGTCAGGAAACTGTTCAATTTCTGTACAAATATTTGCAGTTAATTGAGTTATAGAGAGATCAGTAAGAGGAGACTGCAAGGATAAAGTTGCTAGCAACACCTGCCAGCGTGTTAAATAACAAAAAAGAAGCGACCTATATCAAGACAAAATTGATCACCTCTCTTACTATTTACAATTTTCCTGTGACAAGAACCTGAAGAAAATACCAGTGTAATCTTAGCCTTTCCTTTGCCAGTCTAATCCCGTCGAATGAGTATATAATTTCTGGTTTCACCTTTCGAATCTTTCCACCCTAAGCAAGCAAGCAGGCCCCAAGACAAATTTGCAATCCGAGAAATATCGACCATTCAACGGCATTTTGATTGATTCCTTGTTAGTGTCCTGTTGGATTCTGTGCATGGATTCTTGGATGTTGAAGACTGAAGTACACGGATTTGATGGCATTTTTTCCCAGTACACCAACTACCTGTAATATTTACTGTAAGGATTGCTTCCTGGTCCCTTGTATCTTCAGCCCAACAATTCGGTGAGGCTCCATCAATAAATTCTCCTAGTGCATTGAAATCTTCGAGATTCAAAGCCACATCTACACTTTGGCCAGGCTTGATTATACCAGACGCTGGAAGAACCTACATAACAAACGAAACTATATAATTGCTGCTGAAATAAAGGAGAATGTGAATAATGAATACCAATGTTCTCCAACATCAACAACAACGAAGTCCTTGCCCCAAAATTTTTAGGTCGACTACATGAATCCTACTCTCCACTCATTTCTGTTAATGGCCATCTCCTCTATTAAGTTAAATCATTTTAACAGCTTTAACCAAGTTCTCTCAGACCAAACACTACTCCCCTTTCTCCATTAAAAACTCACGACTTCTCTTTATTGGGTGCACTTAATGGCCTCCACTGCAAATGGCAAAACATCTAAAACGGCTCTCTCTAAAGTTCTTCAATTATGATGATGCATATTACTGAAACAGTACAGACCACTCTTTGGTACTTAACGATGTTGACAGAGAACTCTCATGTAATACATTTTTACTCCTAGGCACCAAAACATTCAAAATGCATAGAACAAAACATCATCGTGTAGACAAAACTCATTATATGCTAACAGTTTTAACATTTGAGTAATGGAAAAAAATTAAAGAAAAGATTAACCATTAAGTCTAAGACATACCTTTAGCCAGATGGGAAAGCCAAAGGGACTTTTTGAAGGAACCTCAGCTGAGTTATTCTTATCCTTGAAAGAAGATTTAACTTCACATGTGATTTCAAATGAAGCTGCATCTTTACTGCATTTATTAGTTATCTTGAGGCTGAAGGTTTCCAGCATTGTCAAGAGAATCTCATTAGTGCTAACTATAGTCTCTGGGACATTGAGAAATTCCTCAAGTAATACTCTGGCCTTTTCATTTGAAGAAACTATTTCTCCGAATTGTTGCCTCCTTATCAACTCATCTACACGTGCAACATCAACAGTAAAGATGCACCTGACAGGTTTGTGATCACTTCCCATCACCTCCAGGCAAGCATCATAGCTGACAAAATAAGTTTCAGATCCCTCATAATGCTATGACGACATAAGATTTCAAAAAAAAGCTTACAAGAACACTTACTGGGTGATACACGAAATTATAGGGCACTCTAGTGAGCATTTAGCCACGGGAACAGAACGGTTGTCACGATACAATACTCTGTCACACCAAGCAGGAATTCGCTTCTTCTCACCAGAATCATACCCTATGAAATAAAAAGCAATTTTCCAGTATTGATTAATGTTGAACTAAAGATCAGTGAAAGTCAGAGGTTGCTCAATATTTTATCGTGAAATGTTGTTTACAAACAATCTAGCACAAAAAGATATATTATTGAGGGTTATATGGCATCAAATCACCAACAATTTCATATTAGTCCCTCAAATCTTTGAAGTTGCTCACACATCCCTCAAATCTTAAGGGGTCTTGCAATTTGGTCCCTTAATGACCAAGATACCCCTCAGCTAATACCCCTCAGCTAATATTTCCTCGAACAAGGTGGGTTTTAGGGGGAGCGTAGACTGAGGGTATTTTGGTCATTGAGGGATCAAATTGCAAGACACCTCCGGATTCGAGGGACAGGGGACTTCTGAGCAATTTTGGGGACTCACATTGAATTATTGAAGATTTGACAGACTGATATCTAAATAACCCTATTCTTGATGTTAATTATTTAACACTCGGTGGTCTATCATTGTAAGCATACCTGATAGACCTGCTTGATATCTGTCAAACTTGTATGTGGGAGGAAATTTGATATGTGCTTCGCGTAGTCCTTGAAATACTTTTCCTGCTTTCATTTCAGCACGAAGCTGGTCCTTCTCTCTGAGCCAATCAAAACATCTTTGGGAAACTAGGTCCCTTGCTTCATCGTAAGTGATTCCACGGAGACGATAATTGAAGTCCCCAAGAAAGACAATCATATCAGCTTCTGATAACTCAGGTTTTCCAGAATCAGTTGCCTGCCACAATCACATTGTATATCTACAATCAACACCTTGCTTGTGTTCCTTTAGTATCTAAAATATGAAAGTCTTAAGTTGAAAAACTAAATTATGAACATACATTTGAACTACGATGACACTGAATAGATGAAGCACCTGGAGGAGCAAAGGAAAAAATGTTATGGCATGTGAATTAACTTGATACTTTACACCTTGAATAATGAGACCATCTTGCGCAAACAAACAGCTAAACCCCAAAAAAAAGAGAAACATCAAAACTTGATAATTCTGAAATATCTATTCAAACAAAGTTAATTACGACATGTTATAAGAATAAGATAACGATGGTCACTGCATAGAGGTGTTAGTATTAAGTAACAATGGTCACCGCATAGAGGTGTTAGTATTAAGGTTTTAAATATCAGATATCAAGGAAATTTCGGATGACCAAAATTCATATCGGATTGTGGAAATCAGGAAACATCAGGGATATGCAGTAAATATCATATAGATGTTTGCATATATAGTATAATGCACTAAAACGTAATCTCAACATACTTAATGAAATCAAAGCATACAAAATGTAAAGACTATATGTTTAGGATCATTAATCGACCATTGTAAAACAAACAAAAGTACAAATCAATGTTGCAACATTTTATCTGTTTTTTTTGGCCAAAATGTCATTTCATATGGAAAAATCATGATATCTCGCCCAAAAATTGCCAAACGCAGTATATTGTCTGCGACAATGCATATAAAGGATATTTCGACCAACATATCAGTTAATATATCGGTTATATCAAGGATATATCGTCCAAAATAGCCAAAGAGCGGTAAAGGATGTTTAGAGACCATATCAGTTGCAGCAGACGCTGTAAAAGGATATGTCATGTCGAGGATATTTAAAACAATGGTTAGTATTTGTAGACAAGAAGACAAATGCATGTGCAAGTAATATTAAATTACAATCTAAAGAGTTCTCGATCTTGTATGTTAATTTTGATATAATCATTTTGTGTATTTATAGTATATCTAGTAAAAAATATCGATCAAAATAATAAGAGTTTATTAAAAAAATATGTACATCTTTTATGCATCTAAAAAATTATTATTATATCCTTCTTTTTTAAGAGGAATCAAATTAAGCTTAAAATTCATATAATAGTTTATTGAGCATTTGAGGATATAAATAAAACAAATTCCATTTTACTTAATTTCTAAACTTTTTTGGTTTCTCGTTTTGCTTCAGATTAAAGCAACAAAAATTATTATACATAAGAAAATTGTCCAAATTTTATAATTTTATTAACATAATTATGAAATAATTTATTTTAGTTAGTGAACAATATTTTCAATTGAATATTAAATACATGTCAAATAAGGCCTTTTTTTATAATATGTTACTACCTACTACCTAAGTTGAACAGATACGGGTGCGCATACGGACACGGAACATGACAAAATTATGAAAGGCAGGATATGAGGACACATAGACACACGCGCGCGCGCGTGTGTGTGTGTGTGTGTATATATATATATATATATATATATATATATATATATATATATATTACATTACATCAAATATTGAGTTAAAATACCCTTAACATTTGGATGTTACTTTTACTATCCATTAAAATTAAGAATCAAGTTAAATCAAACATAAAATTAAGGTTTAACAAAAAAAATTAGTTTTAATTGCATAGTGTACGATGAGTATTTTTCAAACCTTTAAGTAATGGTTTTGATTTTCAGGTTCAAAAACTTATTGGTTTTGAGCTCAATATACCAAAGAAATTAGTTTAGGGTTGTAAGTAATGGGAAAATCAGGTTTTGTTTTGAGCCATATGTGTGCATCGCATGTCTGCGATGAATCCATGTCTGACATGTGTCCGACACGGATACGGCACCCAAAACGAAATGTTCTGGTAACCTAGGCTACTACCCAATTCACATTGTGTTGCATTTTTTATTTTCTTAAATTTATGCAATTAAAAAAAAGGCATACATGAAATTTTAAATTTGACAAGGAGATAGAGGAATAAAAATAACGGAACATTCTAAAAAAAGGGAATGAAATTTTAAATTTGAAAAAGAGATGACTTTTAAATTAAAAAAAAAGAGATGGAAGAATGAAAAGTAATGAAACCATCTAGAGAGAGAGAAGAGGGAGCAAGAGATGGAGCACACATCAAAAAGATTGTAATAAATTACTAAACTACCATTGTCTTTTATTAAAATGACCTCCACTTCTATATGAAATTGAAATAATAAAAACTCATTCCTCCATTTTTGCATACCCCCACAATTATATATGTGTGTGTCGTAAAGCTCTTGTAAACTTAAGTTGATAGAAGCTTCTGTTCTCTAACTTTTATGTCTATTAGATATTCTCTAAGATTTGTGTTGCCATGTGATACATATCAAGGTAGGTATCAAGACATATATCTAATATTCTGTGTGCATGTGTTATAGATGAGATGCAAGGGATATGATGAACATGGGGTGGCATTGCCTAATAGTCCTAAGGGGGTGTTAGTCAATTGAAACATTTTCATGTAAAATGGGATAATTGTTAAAGTAGAATATTTTTTTGCTAGTGGGATAAATAGGAACAATTTTGTGAATTGGGATATTTTGATAAAATAACGTGTGATAAATTTTTATAATCATGAAATATATATTTATGCATTTTGAAGATATAAATACTATTTATATATTTTAAACTTACTATTATTGATTGATAATTGCTTACAAGAATGTTCTTTACTATTAAATAACTTTTGGTTAGACTATAAGATATTGATAATTATTATTATAATGATGGTCTAATGATAGTGATAACCATAATAGGAAAGAAGTAAAGAAAAATATATATAAAATAAAAAATAATAAAATAAATATGAGTTCTAATTTTTTACCACCTAGTTCCAAGCTAAAACTTGGAATAATTTGAGAGACTAGAACTCTCATTTTTGTATAGAAAAATAAAAAAGTGGGATAATTTTGTACCATTATCCCAATTCTAGTTTTGTTAGAGTTCTACTTGACTAACACCGTAAAATTTTGTTCTAGTTTTAGTTCTATGTGACTAACACCTTAAAAATTTACCCCACAAATTATTCCAGTTCCAAAGTTCTAGGTGACTAACCCCACTAAGAGTACAAATGACTAATAGCTATACAACAAGATGGTTAACTGATATCCTTCAGATTTCCTTTAAAACTCAAGTTGGATAACACCGAGAACTCGTACAAAATCAATGAATAAACGAGCCAATTAATTATGAAAACAAGTCCACACAAGTAGGAAAAGGAAGCTCAGATAGATGAATAGTGTACATCTAGAGATTACATAAGTCGCCAAGTGACAAGGATTTGAACAATTGTCAAAGTATAGAAGAATCTCAAGTAGCTGAAATGAGAAATGGAATAACTTTGAAAGGATAGCAAAGTGAACAAAGGGAAGAAGTTTGAGAACAGCAACCAAAGCGCATATAAGTGTCTTTTGCGAATCGGCAAAGAAAACTACTCTAGGAGTCACTTTCACATAGAGCTGAACTAAATCCCTTGGAGAAAAGCTTGATTGACAAAGGATGTTGAATAGCAAGCTCAATCATGAGGTACAAATGAAAAACGAATGAACATAGTGTAAAAGTGCATGAATGTGCAACAAGTTTCTGTTCATGCATACTTTTTCTTTTTAATTTCTAGAATCATTGCCAAGGATCACTTACAGGTTGAGTTATACTTCCGTATTCTCTACAACTTGCGAAACTATATGAGCGGTCTTTTTGGGTCCATTTGAAGCATAAATCAGATGGCTATGTATTTCTGAGGTTTGCTAAAAGGATTCTGGCAATGTTCTTTTCACAGTAACATATGCTGATAATAGTTTCTCTGAGCAAAGTATTTGACTAATAATTTCTCTATAGCATAAGTGCATACGATTACATCAAAACTTTCTTAAACTTAACTTCTGAAGGGTATTTGACGAATCAATTTTGTTTGTTCTTTTTTTTTAACGCTACAAGGATGCTAATACTGGTATGTTTCTATGTATTGGTATAGGATATACTCTTGATATCTAAAAGTAGCCATAATCCATAAGAAGATGATGAAAGAAACATTTTGAGCACATAACGCAATGCCGCGTGGAGTACGCAGGCTCACGTGCATGCAAGGATGCACCCACGTACAATTAAATGTGACATGTAAACGTATAGACAAAATGATATTTTGCTTATAAAGGTGATGAAGCATAAGAAAGAAAAGGAGGAACAAAATGAGTAATTTAAAGAATTACCTCCTGAACCATGAGCATCTCCGGGAGCATAATAACGGCCAAAGTTCATTAACCGGTAAATATGATCGAAATCAGCGTTACGCTTATTAACTGCTTCCAAATGCGCAGCAAGATGACAGTTCACAAAGCATATTGTTCGATCAAAGACTCTTATCCGTACACCTACACCTCCCTGCACAGAGTCTTCAGCCCATAAATCATGTCAAACAACAAACAAAACCTAAATCATATAAATCGAGCTTGAAAAATGTCTTTGAAGACTTTAATGTCTGTCGCAATAACTGAAATGGAGGTTAAAAGGAAAATTGTTAAAAGCGACAGATCATTTCTCGGTAGCAGAATCAAATGATTAATGTTCAGTCCGATAATTGTCCCAAACTATTACTGGATATCTAGAGTTTAGAAAATTTATGTGATTAAATAGAAGAACAAAGACCTCATCATTTTGTTTAACCTAATAAAATTCAACTAAACAAAAAACCATGACGAGGTATACTCACCCCAAATAATTGGCACAATGCTCTGCTGCTTTCATTGTTAGTTGAGCATGGCACACTAAGTAAAATAAATGAGTTGAAAAGGAAGCATTCTCAGACTAAGTAAAAGTAAACGATTTGAGAAGTAAGAGCTTGGCAAAGTGTCTATTCTTACATGAACTGGAAAGGATCTAGACAATGAAGTTCATGATATTTATCCATCTTCCACTTTCCTCTTCATGTTACATATTAGTAAATAAGCAAATTTCTTTGTAATATCCTTCCTATTTTTATTGCAAATCAACTGGAAAGGATTTGGACCGTTTGTCTACCATCAATTTGGACACAGAACTCCCTAGTCCCTATTTTCATTGTCAATGATGACATCAGATACCTTTTGCTTATTGCTTGGAGACCAATGTTATGACACTCCAGGTTTGAAGATATGTATTATTGCCTCCAAATGACTCCTTTGGCCTGGATTGATTTGCTAAGTAATGGAGACAAGACGCTAAAAAAATGAATAATGAAAGAGGATTTATGCAACCCAACACAAAAATTGTTGGTGTACGGAAGCTTTTGCATGTTACAGCTGGAGATATCCATCTTTGCTGAATGATCTCTCTTTTCATGTATCCAATTACAGTATCATAAAGGGATGATTACTTTCTTTCTCAACGTCAGCTTTCAAATTAGTTTTCTTCAATGTATAACTGTATTTAATTGTTCTCCAAATGACCAAAGCAATCAGAACTTCTATACGACTGGTTTACATTAGCATACTCAATGAATGACCACCGGAAATTATACATGAATATGTTGTATAATAGTTATAGTTGGTCATTTTGCATGCAGTGTCCTCAGAAAGCATGACTACACCCTCTATAGATGTATTCCCAGTTTGGTCAAGCTTGGAAGGACTCCCTTAAAATGCTTTTCTACACTGACACCTTCCTCCCAGGTAATAGTTCCCAACCTTCCCAGTTATAAAATTTTATTTCACATCAAAAAAATTGTCCATGAGATTCAGGTAGAGATTGAAGCATTGAAACACAGACTATTACAGTGAAAAATGAATACCTTGTTACCAATAGCACGTCCCAGTCCACATGGTACGGCAGCAGCATCAACATCACCAATATGTGGCCTGAGATTTTTTCTAGCCCTGGAAAAGTATAAATCCATTAGAAATACAGCCTAATAATTGGTGAGACAGAAAATCAACCAAAGATATATCAGTTGATTTCTAAATTTACTAAATGCAACCTAAGGGAACTATTTTCTGTTCTTCAAAAAGGTTATTTAGAGACAAGTTTATACCATACCATACACCAATAAGCAATCCTGCTAATTGTCTGGAGCCAATGCGCTCGAATCCTTCATCTAAGGCCTTTCCTATACTATCCAGCCACCATATTCCATTAACACTGCCCTCGAGTCCTACCTAAAGTAAATAATATAACTGTCAATGTATCCAGGAAAGTATTCAAATCAATGGAGAATAAGATGATCAATGTGTCAGTGTTCTAGATGGAAAAAAGATGCAGCTAATGTGCTTGTGCCTAAAAAAAGAGAGAATCTATGACATGAAGATAAAAATATAAAACTGACAAAAAAAAACTTTTTTCGATATAAATAAAAATCAAATAAAGTAAAAGCTCATACAATAATTAAACTATGTATAAAGTAGACAGACACATGCACTAATGTTGTAAAATAGAGCTAGATATATAAACAGTAACTTAAAAGATTCCATAATGTTAAATTCATTCATGTAAGAAAGCTCTTTTCTGAAAGTTTAAGTGACTAGGAAAGCAATGATAGAAATGACTTACACAATCTTGAAACAACTCGTCAAAATTGATGTTGGAGGAAAAAAATAAACAGGATGAAGAAGGTATAGATGTGAATGACAGTCAATCCTTCTGCAACGTATATTGCTGGCTGGTATTTATTCAACACAATGCTACCTGGATAATTGCAGGATATTTTTTTCTGATTTTAAAGTGCACATCTAAATTGTATCCTCAATTTTACTATATATTTTTAATCATGTATGCTTTTTGACACTTCCTTAATATACTTTGACTCTTGTAAAGTAACTTTTTGATGTGTATTATGTGTAAAAAATGCATATTTTTTATTAATGTGTATTATGTTGTCTTATATTTACTCAAATACTCACGTGTCCTACATTTCAAGCATCCAAACTTGTATGGTGCAATACTACATGCATATATGTCTTTTGTTAGAAAATCACTTAAACTATTGAGGCATACACAAACATGGAACATATTCACCTAGACTAAATACTCTTCTTAGAGCCACATGGAAATCCCTCCAATTAAACTTTGGAAAGGCAGAGAAAAATAGGGTCGTAAAACTTATAAGTTAATAATGATGTGGTTTGAACCCCTCTAGAACCATGTTTGCATTGAAGCTAATGAAGCACTGACTAATGTATTACTCCTGAAAAATATAATAAGATTACTTTTTTACAAGAAACACATGATGCACTTTTTGTATGGCTGCAGCACACAAACTCAAGCGTCAAACTAAAAAACATGCATTAATGTAAAAACTAAATTTCTACATTAAGATAGAGAGAAATGGGAGGTATACATGCAGCCCATATCTACAAGCAATATTCAATAACACGATTAATAGTAGAATTTCATAAATAACATACTTAAATAAAAACGTTTTGTAAGAAAACCTAAACATGGGAGTGTAATTAACAAGAAAAAAGAAGACAGAAAAGAACATCTCTCAACAAATCATTTAATGAATCGGCATGAAATATTTATTGACCAAAATCTAAGCTTAAATTCAATTATTAATGTAAGAATGCATGTGCATCCCTTTCACATGTGTGAGATGTATTAGGCAGAAGTGCCCCATAAACCATAAGATAAAGGGCATGTTATCAGGATCATGCATTCACTCGAGGAATAATTAACATCAGGTCTTGATGGAAAAGTTATTCCCCAAGGGTTGTGGTTGTTACATGCTAAACTTAATATACAATTTATACGTGCATCTCCCTGGTTAAAACAATTATAGATATAGAGAAGTGGAGGTTAAAAACTTAAGTCAGTAGTAAACATAATCTGTGGACTACAAAAAGACTTTTAAGAATTCTTTTTTTTAATGTGGGCAAGATTCCATGACAATCAATGGCATTGTTATCGAGGCGCAAGACGGAATGCGGGGCGAAGGCCCTTTTACGCGCAACATGCGCAAGGCGCACAACGATGCGCGCGCCTCACTGAATTGAGGCCCACAACTCAAACTAATATTTTCCAACATAAGACAAAAAAATATATAAGCAACATGTTTATAAATTGTCACATAAAAAGACCAAGAAATATAATTTCACCTACTAATTCACGAAACAGTTTTAATTAGCATGCATAACATAGAGAAGTTCATAAGTTTCTACAAATCAGAATGCAAGATAATCTCCAACATAAGCAAAAGTCTATGAAGTAAAACAAGCAAGTAACAAATAAAAAATATGTATTTTCATTTAAAATATATGTATTTTTAAGTAACAATTAAGTGATTAAAAAAATGATCGTTTATAATTTTCTAGTTAACATCCTTAATTGCTATTTGTTAGTTAGTATGAAAAGATGGAGAATGAAGGTAACAATTACATATTTACATGTTCATAATTTTCTAGTTAGCATGCTAATTAGAGAAGAATAACAATTACATATTTACATGTTCATAATTTTCTAGTTAGCATGCTAATTAGAGAAGAAAGTTACAATTAGCAAACAAGTATACTAAATTACTAATTAAGTTAGCATGCTAATTAGAGAAGAAAGTTACAATTAGCAAACAAGTATACTAAATTACTAATTACTATTTCATTTTTATAGGTTAAACATAAAAAGATGGAGAATGGATCTTTTCATGTTTAACAACTAGCAAGAAAGAGTATTACATGACATAAATATATAATATGTAAATTATTTTAAAAAAACATAAGAAAGAGTCTATTACATGACGCAGGTGTCAAGTGCACACGAGGCGCGCGTGAGGCTCACGTGAGGCGCACGCGAGGTACGCGCCTCGTGTGCGTGCAGCGCCCCGCCTCTGGTACGGGGCGCAATTGTCCCAACCCGTAGCGCCCCACGCCCGGGGCGTGCCTGGGGCGCGCGCCTCGATAACAATGATCAATGGATATAGATTGGGATCAATGGACTCAATATTATGGTCTTTTAAATAACTGAAAGGGGAATATTCCTTGCTTGGAAAGGAAAGACATAAGAATGAGGGATAAAATATTAACCAGATCCTTTATAAAGATGCAATGTTAGCTGAAACTAAAAGATTGGAAGTATGTGTTTGCTTAAGTTCGGTAATACATATTTAAATACTTAGATATGTTTTAGGATTAACAATTTAACATTGAGGATATATGGTGAGATTAGAATTGAAGAGTATGCTTGAAAAGTTGATATATGCAGCGTTATTACTGAAAAATACCTTTCCAGTATTCATATATCTGTATATGTTTATATTGTGTGGCTACAAGCGACAGTAAAGAACACCACATGAATAAAACAAGAGTTGAGGAAGACTTCATGTTATGCAGCAAAACCAGAAACAGAGCATGTCATGTTACCGTAATGTCAAGATAACAGATTTATTTTTATTGAAAAAAACAGCCTTTTAACATCTATATAAAATTGGCTTCTCCTTGTAGAGCACAGAGGCTTCAAAAAGGAACAAAAATAAGTGCACACATTATAGTTAACAATGGATTAGATGGTTCTTACACTTTCTTTTGCGGCAGCCATTGCAAGAAAACCAGCACCCATTTCTATTTCTTGCAACCCAACCACAACTAGACCTACATCTGATGCTGCAGGAGCCAACCAGGTTACAAGTGAATCACGAGAGGCTCTCTCTTGGCCAACATTCCAGGTACCAGCTAAAACTTTAAAATTCTCTTGCTTAGAATATAATTGCTCTTTATTGGTCAACTCTGAACGCAAGATATTGTCAATAGGACCTGGAGAAGCCAGGTACCAACCACGAATGCCACCATGATTGGCCAATGTGAAGATGTAAGAGCCCCCAACAGCCATTCTTACAACCGGGTTGCTATGAGCAACCCATCCTCCAATCAAGTTTGCTTCAAGATCCATAACTTGAACATTTCCATTAGCATAGCCTACCCATATGCGTGCTCCATAGGTACAAATGCACAGAACAGAAGCAGAGCGATGCTGAAACTCTTGTAGTCTATTACCATTCCCATCCCACTGAATAAGTGAACCATTTGTGCAGCCAATCCAAATTATTCCATCTACTGACATTGTCAATGCTGTTATTTTTCTATTATCCTCTAAAAATGCTCCTTTTGCTGCAACTCTCCGGACAGCATCAGCTGCCCCCAGCAATGCATTACGCGAACGCTGGAGAAAGCCACCAGAACCTTGGGACTTTTCCTTTTTTGAACTGGGAATAAGTTTTACCTTCATATCATCATCATTATATGAATCATGGATAGATGATGGATCAACTTGAGTCTCAACTTGACCATTTATGCCAAACACTTTCAGAAGTTCCTTTTTCTGAGAATCCCTGTGTAGTGAACAAAACAACATTATTGGTAAGAAAGAAAAGGAATACCATATACAGCAAATTAGAACAAAAGAATCAGCATTTGTATCACATAGATGGAGAATTAGTGCTGTTTACCACAGCGCGAACGACTGGGAACCTCCACTCCACACTTTTGATTTAGAATTGTCAGACAACATGTATTTTACATTTACACTAGGCAAGGGACACACCCCTTCAACAGTGACCAGGTTCCTAAGATCAATGAATGACCTCTCAATTAACAATGCAGCCATGTGTCTTTCTTCTATTGTAAGAGAAAGTGATTTTTCAATATTTTCCCATGACCATGCCTTAATAACTCCACTTTCATGTCCTGACCACAATTCACCTGCATTTCAAAAAACAATTCAGACAATAACATCAACAAAAGCTAAATGACATTTTCTTCTAACTTCAAAAAATTTAAGCTACAAACTTGTAGTAAGACCTGGGAGAAGAAAGAGCAGAATGAACCTCAGAAATGAGAAATTAGACGACGACTAGTGAAGCATACACAATTAAGCAAAATAAACAAATACGGTAAACATGGATATATAACAGCTATACTTTTGATGTTCAATTATCCCAAAGAGATACAATCAGAGGTTCTAGTCTAAGAAGATCACCTAAGCTTAACACATGGATCATACAAATGCATACAATTTTACCCAGAGAATAGAGAGTTCAAAAAGGGGATAAACTTTGTGAACCTTTGAGCTCCTCATATTTTAAGAACTCCAAGGAGAATGTTATTGGCTTGCAGCATGTATCCATTAAGTCCTCGCCAATATATTTCAGTTTTATGTGCCACCAACGGTGTAATATCCTAAGCAAATCCACTAACCAAAAATTAAGGGATCCTAACAAACTCACTAACCAAATATCAAGGAATCCTAACAAATTCACTAAATCCTAACTCCTCCACTACTCCCTCCACTAATCCCTCCATAAACCCTCTTCCACATCTCTGCTCACGGAAAAAGAGAGAGAGAGAGAGAGAGAGAGAGAGAGAGAGAGAGAGAGAGAGAGAGAGAAAAAAAGGGAAGAGAGAGGGAAGACAACAATTAAGGCTTGAAGAGAGGGGAGAATGATTGTTGCTTGAATTTTTGGTTCGACATTAATCGGCAAGCATTTCTTATCCTTCAACTCTTTTATTTTTCATGATCGCCTTTTTTTTTCATAATCGACAAGCATTCATTTCTTCCTTGATTTGAAATTTCTTAAAATCTTCTTGAATATCCTCATTTATGTTCTCATTTCGTAGTACTCTATCATTCTCTAGTTCTCTAAGAATTTGTTCTCATTATTATTATGCAAGCATATTTTCCTCTTTAAACTTTTTGTCAACATTAGATTGAAGAAAAATCTTTACTCTTTATGCAAGCATATTTTGTCTTGTTTTTTTTTGAATTCTTTCTACAATACATATGACTGTTTTATTGCAAGCATTCCTTTAACTCCTTTATTGATCGCCTTATTTCTTCATAAATGGTAAACATTTCTTATCTTTTAACTCTTTTATTATCTATGATCTCCTTATCTAATTACTAGTATTCTCAGTATGATAATATATGGGGTGAATCAATTTGTGGTTGATACCATTTGGATTTATAGAAAATATTGTTGACTAATTGACGCATGTTTAAGCACGTGATTTTGCAATAACGCAATCAATTAACTGTTTCATGCCCATGACATGTTTGTGTTCTCTTAAATAGTGGTGCTATTGCAAGCTAACTATTTGCGGGAGATATTATAATAGGATAAAACCTTGAAATGATTATTCATGGAATTACATGTAGAGAGGCGTCTCACTTTTAAGATTCTAGATCAAGCACATGAAAGTGTGAGCTTCAATGAGAGAAATGTTGTTATTTAAGGGACTGTTGAGTGTTGACTAGAGAAAGGAGGAAAAGAAAAAGTAAAGCACATTGTATTGATTAAGAAAATATGGAATCTGCTTTGCAAAGAAAGACACTAAGAACAAAGGATTACGAGATAACTATTGGGAATCAAAGCGAAGAGAAACATTAAGAATTCATGGTTGACAACAACATTTCTTAGAGAAACTTTTCGTTCTGATGTTGGTTTCAAATATTTAATTATTAAAGGCATGTATGGAATAGGTGGTAGCATACATGCTCACAGGAAAAGAGATATTACTCTATCATTTATGTTAGTAGAGATATTAATAATACATTAATCACACCATGATGAGCGGTGTGTGGTATCAAAGCAGGACATGCGGTGGTCATAGTATGAGTATATGGTGGCATGGTATATGTATACAGTCAAATGTAGCACTAAGGATGGAGGCATTAATAGTATGTTTGTTGGACATTAGTTGTATGAGAATAGCACAGATCAAATTAATGTATCACTGACAGTCAAGTAAGCAGAGGCTGACAATATAAACAGTGTATTTATGCGTATGGGCAGTGTTATCTTATTAGTAATGTTTCAATGGTTTAGCATATGTGATAAGTATATAAGACACTGCATCAGTTCACATTTCTAACATAATTAGTAGTCTGGTATCATACATCATCACAAGAAGTCGTTAATCTCATAGAACTTTACTCACATGGCAGTATTTTGAATCGTATACATGATCTAAGGGTATAATCATATTTACGCAGATATAGTATTTTAGTTTAAGCACAAATAGTTGATTTATAAGGAAAGTCATCATGATATTGTAACAGTTCAATTACATATTAGTCAACTAGCATATTAACGTAGATGAAGTTACTCAATATTAGGTTAGGACTTGTTATGAACTCATGAGTTTGGAGAGTTCACATTTTTTGGAATACTATGCCATAGGGACTCAAGTGCCTAAATAGGCAAGACTTATATGGTATTGATAATGGAGATCATATGAAATGTCATGATTAGATTAAAACCCAATTTATACATATATTACTTATCTTGTTTGATACTGTGTTTGACATGCATGACTTTATGGAAAATTATTGTTTGATCACCTAGTTGTCATCCAATAGGAGAGACTATGCATGAAGACGACTCCTGTTAAAAATATGATTTATAAACATGCTTTCATAGCATGACTATGCTCTCGATATCGATATCCCGATATGAGGGTTTTTTTTCCCTTGGCTATTACTATTATAGCATCGACTAGACGATACACCCATATTGATTGGACATGTTCTGAGTCACAGTTATTTTTCATAGTTTTACGGAAGTTGTTCTATGGTAATTTTGTGGTTAGTGCACAACATTTCATGCACAATCATTTAAATTAAACCGACAAATATGAGGTTTATAAAGGGGAATTGGACGGAGAATATATAAGGTATATAAATGGGCTCATGAGCATTCCTGATATCTTGAGTTATATATACAAGGGCCAATGGCTAATACCTGACTTGAAATCGTGTTCCCGGACGTGTTACGGGAAGACTGATTTATATACATGATACTATTCTCCTCTAATTCAAATAACATGTAAAATAAGAATAATGTGCTTATAGGCTTTGTGATAGATTTGGCATGCACGACATGTCTTGGATGCGGTGTTGGTGATGTACTTCTTTATTTCTTGTTTATAGGATTTTAAGAGTTAATATTTAGCAATTCACAATTTGAGATATATGGTATATGTAGGCGTCAAAAAATGCTGAAAGATATCCAAATACAGCTCAAAAAGAAGTCATCCAAAAAAGTCAGAAGAACACAAGTTTGGGCTGTCTCGCACAGTCTTTACTGTCTCGCAGGCGAGACAGTCTTTACTGTCTCGCCAGGCGAGACAGCATTCTCTTGTAATCACGTGGATAACTGCCAAAATAACGGAGTTTGAAACATGGGAAGGCAGTTAAAACGAAAAGGGCCTGACGGTTACTATTTCTGAGACAGCGTTTACTGTCTCGCGGGCCGAGACAGCAAACACTGTCTCGCCCGCCGAGACAGCAAACACTGTCTCGACAGCCGAGACAGCAAATGCTGTCTCGCGAGCCTGTTTTTCGCCAACTGTTCTTGGAGGTTATAAATATCCCCCGAAGGCCATTTTTATAGAGAGGCTGATCAGAGAGCATCCACAGTCTGATTTCGGAGCAGAGAGGGCAGAGTACCCGAGCTTCTGGCAATTCCTTGAGATTTAAGCTTTGACTTAATCTTAAGAAGAACGACTATCTTACTTTGATAAGATATCGTTTCAAGTTCTCACTTCGATAAACGAAGTCAGAATCATAAACCCCTCACGATTCGATCAGAATCTGTGATTTGGTGGTCCACGGGCTAACGCACCCCCGGCACAGGCAAAGATCCCACGCAAGCAGTGATCCAAACAACGATCCTGCGTTTGTTTCCCAAGAGTTGTAATTTTCATTTTGTTGTGTAAAAGAAGTCTTATAAAAAGGCTATCTCTTTTTGAATTTATTGTAATCGACTGAAGATATAATGAATTCCATGACAAAACCAACTTTTGACGAAAACAAACTGGCGATCACAGTGGGAGCCAATGGTCTCGCTGCCGAGACCGTCGTGTCGCAGCCGATCAAGATCCCGATTGAATCAACGGTCGAGTACGATTTCGACCAAGCGAAGTTTGAGGAGTATTTATCATCCTCATCCTCAAAGTCTTCCTTGACTCACAAATGCAAGAAGATTTTATCTTCTAAGAGGGTCTGCAAGTTCTCGACTCCGTCGAACGCTACAGATGAAGACTCTCGCTTGATTGTTGCTGAGGATTCCACTCGCAACCTCTCTGCTCATAATGACTCTTCTTCAATTAAAGAGTCATTGAATCAAAGCCCACCGGCGCTGACAAAAAGAGCTCGTCAGAGACAACGTCAACGCCGCGCTCGCCAATTGGCTAAGGCTTTGGAACAAACCGATGGAGTTCGTTACTATGCGGACTTAGAATCGAGGAAACATCAAGTGGTTCAGTCGCCTCAACGTCAAACCACTCATGTTTCTGCACAATTTATGACGGAAGAATGGACTATTGTCAAAAGGACTCGTTCAACCCTCAAAGAACGTATACGAAAACGTCGTGCAAATACTGCTCTTATCTATGCTCTCTCACAACAAAGACAAAAATGGAAGAAGAAAACGGTGACCAAAGAACCACCGAAATTCTGCCAAGTTTGAATTCCAAAAACTGGAGTTGTGCAAAATCAGCATTCGGAGCCCGTTAAGACTCTATACCCACAAGGGGGTGGTTCTAAACATGCGACTCCCGACATAACCTTGGATCGTTCAAAGGCAACAATAAATTGTCCTGAGAATGCCAACAAGGTTTTACACCCTCAGATGAAGACGCATTCACCAAAAGACATCGTCATACCTGGGAGGTCATGCCAACAAACGATACGATTTTTTGGC